TTCTTCATTACCCATTCAAGCCGTCTCCAGCCATTATTAGGTATGAGGATAGACATCAAAAAAGAGGCAAGATCCTACTGACAGTGTCTCAAGTAAGCACTATCTATGGCAATTGCTGCATAATGACAAACCATCTTTCCTAAAATAAAGAGGATGCGTTTTTGTCAGATGGAAAAGTATGCGAAAACTCTAAAGATTGCAAAGCAAAGTGAAGAGGGTGAAGAGTTTCTGGAAAAGTGATAACACAAAAATCCTAGATGAATGAGATATTGAAAAAGCACAATCTGAGACTTGGAATTATGTACAATCCATTCCAAAGAAGCTATCGGGAAGGTCAATTCAGTGTGAGACAACAACTGAATATGAATCCTTCCATCATCTGTAATGATGGAAATCAATATTATATGTGCAGAAGACATGAGGTGCCAATGCCAGGTTGAAAAGATAGAGCCATAAAATGATAAACCACTCCATGAAGATACTGGCAAGTAGATAGGTGAATTGATACACGTAAATATGCATCTTTGAAATCCACTGTCATCATCCAATAAACTTGACAAAGGAACTTTCACACGATTCTTATTGGTTCTATCTGAAAAGTAGGAATATCTATATAAAACAAAAAAAAATGAGATGAGAAATATCTTGTACCAATCTCCTCTTTTGTTTGGCACCTCAAAGAGATGAGAGTAAAAACCCTGAAGAAACATGAAAAAATAACATCAATATCCCCCCCAACTTCCAGACAAAGAAGTCATCCTGAACAGAGAGTCAACGAATGGGTCATAAAGACCAGCCTTGCTTACATCAACCTTAAGTCACACGAAAAGTATGAGTAGATGTAGCAAGCATTGAAGAACATCATACACAGGATTCTGGAAAGTAATAATAATAAGAAGCAAAACAACATGCTAAAACCATAATCAACTCCTGCTCACAAGCTTCCTTTGAATGAGAAACAAGTTTATATATATAATAAATACCTTTGAAAAGAAGAAAAAACAAGCACAAGATTTATATAAACACATACAAATATACGTAAAGAGGTCAGCTGATTAAACGATGCGTACTTTGAAACACAGCCCGACATGGAAAAGTGTCAAAGGAATATTAGAGCATTGTGGTGAAATAATATGAGATCAGTAGGTAATGAAGATGTCAAAACAGATATGTGATCCACATTCTAAATAACCAGATGATGAGAATAGCTAATAATGTTGCAAAAAAGAATTTCTCAAACAAGACAAATCATATTGTATACGGCAAAATAAACAACCACATGGAAGATCAAAAACTTGAGAAGGAACAGTGGAAACAAAGGAAATTGTTGAGTGTTATGCAATTTAAGCATCTGCACGATCGTGATATCTGCCAGGAATACCAGTACACAACAGCATGAATATTTTGAATTATTAGGGCTATCAATGGAGCTACAAGGCTACCCTGTACACTGCAGACAAATTGTGTAAGTAAGGCCTCTTGATAAGTTATAAAACTTCCAACAGTGGTGGAAACAGCTGCATCATAAACAATATTGTAGCTAAGTTAAAAATGTGACTGTCAACAACAAAATCTTAATATAATGATGAACAATAGTATGATAGCAACAACAACAAACATTTGACACACGTGTGATGATGATAAACATTTAATTCTTGAACATTTGGAAATGTAATACTCCATCTTCGGCAAGCTATATTGAACAAGGTAAAATATTAGGAACAAAAATCTTTAACTTCCAAAGCTCCATTGTTTTGTAAAAAGGAATTAAAGTACTGAGTAAAAGGAAGAAATTAACTTAAAAGGAATAGGTTAGTGCTACAATTATAACAATATTATGTTTTTGTGTGAAATTACACAGTTTATTCAAAACTGACTTAATTGAAGTGAAGTTTTGTTATTACTTAAAGTTGGGAGTTCATTTATAAAAGATTGATTTTAATCAAAAGTTCAATATTGGATGATCCAGATGAGATGACTTTGAAATTTTTAGTTGAGATGGGGGTGGTTGCTGGAGGATTTGATAGATATTTTCCAGTTCTCCTTGATACTCCCATACGTTCACATGTTGGCAAGTGTAACTGGTGTATAGTTTTGCCAATGTAAGTGGCATTACAGCCACCACATGCGTATTTGCATATGGTCCTGGAATGCATAGGATAAGGTTATAGATCTTTAGACCTAAACAGATTTCGATTCTTGAAAGATAGTTTAAATATCATTTGTAGTTTAACTTGTAGATAAGTAGTTTTAATTATTCTTAAATTTTGTGACTTCAGTATGAAATTTTGTTTACCTGAAAAAGGGATGATTAGTCTTAATGAGTATTTGTATACAGTATATTGTTGCTGTGGTGGTTCAATTTTGTTAGAAAAGAATTTGCATGTTAAGGATTGAATAAAATGCAAGGGATAGTCATTGTTTATTACAATATTCTGTAAGGTGGTTATTTTGGTATGAAGAGAGAGGTAGTCAAAACAGATGGTATATGCTCTACTTAGAAGACTGAGTAGTTACATTTAAACGAGTCTGTAATAAAACTGTTGAAAAGTAAGGCTGTATATGTTTTTTTGTGATAAACAGATGTTGTGAAGTGGTTATCTAATCTGCTGTTTGGATATCAAGAAAGGGAAATTTACCATTTTTTTAAGTTTCACAAATAAAATTAATGTTAGGGTGTTTCAAATTTAAATAATCCCAGAATTGTTTGCAGTGACTAGAGCTACCAAAAAGTAAAAATGTATCATCAACATACTTTCTATATAAAGCTGGTTTGTACTCAGCAGGACAGGAGTCTAACCAAGAACGCTCATAGTAAAAAAGGAATGCGTTTGTGAGAGTCGGCCCTAAAAGTGACTCCATTGCCATGCCATCTATTTGGTCATATAGCTAATCTTTGAAGACAGAGATTATCCTTATGGGAAAGTTTTAGTAATTTTTCAAACTGTTGACAGTTAAAGCTTGTGTATTTTTTCATTTTTGTTTTGAAAACATCTAAATTATGGAAGAAAATTAGAGCTTTTGTAAATCACCTGAAGCTTGCACAGTAAGTCATATGATATATGGAGTGGAGGATTATGGGCAAGTAATACATACTCTACAATGCATAAAGGACAATAAGAAATTTTCAATTATGTTTTTTGACAGCATGAATTCAAATTCAACAGCTGAAGGCTTTCAGCATCTCAAAGATAAGTCTTTCCCAATTTGAAACCGTTTTAGAAGTTTAGAACATGAAATTAGAAATCCAAACTTTTGAGGGATTTGAAAATTACTCACATCGTAGCAACTTGTGAAATATCTTGTTGACCTTAAAGGTACATCAGGACCCTTGTCTGGAAAAGTTGCTGGAAATATTTCTCCACTTTTTACATTAACTCCTGGAAATAAATTTCAACGGTCAAATTAAAGACATATCTTTTACACACCCATCTAATTTAACCCTTTAATATAAAATTCATGTTTTCTAATAACTTATATTTTTAGAATAATAAAGTATAGAATTTATAATTAGATGATAAGTCTAGCTAAGCACTAACTGAAGATGTATTATTTACTTGTTTGATCAGATTATTTACAAACCTTACATTTCTCTGAACAACCTAAACATAAAAATAGGGACATAAAACATATTCACAATCTACATGCTTAAAAAAAAAGGAAAAAGAAAATTGCATACTATTTAACTGTTTCAAATATTCGATCTACTTAGTGAACAATATTAAAATTCATACAATAATTCAGGTTTTTTTTTTCTTACAAGTTCTGCAAATTTCATAATAAAAAAACAAAAAACTGTAGTCAGTAATTTTACAGAATATGTAATAAACAGAATTGATAAATTCAACCAATACTCATACAAAACTATCTGTACCAGGCAGTGAATGGTTAAAGGATAAAAACCCTGAAGAAACTTGTTAATAAACACAAAAACAAAAGATATAATTCTCTTCCACATCATAAGCCACTCACTATAATAAGCATATAAAAACAAAACATCAAGACTTGTTTCAGTCTCCTTTCTACAAGCCAATAGGTAAGAAGTATTTTTTTTCTTACTTTGTCATCTTGTGTTTATCATAATATTCATTTATAGCATTACGTTTATTTATTTGACTTATTTTCTGCTTCATTACAGGTTTAATGAGTTAACCACTTCAGGTATTTTCAAAATACTCAAATATTTTACGTTTCCTTCTAGAGGCTCCATGAACATCATTTGACCATTTTTCCTAACCATTCCAAACTGAATAATTTAGTGGAGGAGTCACTGTAATAAAAAGAACACTACCTTGCCATTTTGGCATCCTTTCGAGACCAGGGTACCTGAATTCTTTAAATTATGTCTATTATTCTGTGTATAACAGTTAACAATTGCATGAAAATATCCAAAATAGTAAACTTTTCAAGTGGAAAAGCATTCACATCTAGTTAACATTATAAGTAAATTACTGGAATTAGAGTTTAATAAATACTTTCAAATTCATCAAATTTTTTAATTACTGTGCACAAAAGCAATGCTGTTTTGTAAAAGAACCTTTTCTATAGTATAATATATTCTACAACCAAGAAATGGGTGTTCACATAGAACTCTCTGTCTTTACATACCATTTTGTTTATGTGTATGCATGTGTGTTTTATTGCTGCATGAAAGAACACACCTTTGATTTTTTAAATACCACAATTTATAATTCAAAGCTGAGAATGATAACCATAATAAAGAAAAATTTAAAGTTCTAATGGAGTAAAAAATGTTTAATGTTATTAAATGTACTTCTGTGTATTTTTTAAAACCGTATCTAGTCCATAGCATGGTTCCAATCATTTTTAAGGCCTACAAAAAGAAACCCATGGTTGTAATAGATGATGTGTTTGTGAAATGTACAATTGTCTTGTTTTTCCTCAATTTTGTAAAACAATAATGCTTAGGTATTTAAGAAATTCAAATGATTGATTTCTCGAGTAAAGAAATATGCTGAATAATAAAACTTAACAAGTCTAAGTTGATATTTTAGCATATAGTTTAGAAATGAGATTTTTCTCCAATAAACCTTATAAAATTATCCAAAATAAAATCTTTACTCACCAATCCCATAAATGACTGGCCAGTTGATATTCCCCCTCAGAGAATTGTTCAACTCTTAAAAACAAACACTTGCTCAGTTATTTTTCAAAGGAAGCAATATCTCTCCATTATGGACAAATAAAAAAATTAAATTACAAGCATTTTAGTCACCTCTTAAAATAGTTTCCTGCTTAGCTTAATTTATTTATATCAGAGGAAAACTAGTAGCACCTAAAGTCACCTCTCAAAACAGTTTCCTGCTCAGCTTAACTTATTTATATCAGAGGAAACTAGGAGCACCTAAAGTCACCTCTCAAAACAGTTACCTGCTTAGCTTAATTTATTTATATCAGAGGAGGACTAGTAGCCCTAAAGTCATCTCTTAAAGCAGTTTCCTGCTCAGCTTAATTTATTTATATCAGAAGAAAACTAGTAGCACCTAAAGTCACCTCTCAAAACAGTTTCCTGCTTAGCTTAATTTATTTATATCAGAGGAAGACTAGTAGCCCTAAAGTCATCTCTTAAAGCGGTTTCCTGCTCAGCTTAATTTATTTATATCAGAAGAAAACTAGTAGCACCTAAAGTCACCTCTCAAAACAATTTCCTGCTCAGCTTAATTTATTTATATCAGAGGAAAACTAGTAGCACCTAAAGTAATTTTCTATTTGTACATCACAAATACCATTAAACTATTTTTATTTGCCAAATAAGTATATTAAGTGCATACATACGACCATTCAAAAATTCAATTATTAAGTTCAGTTATCATCTATATCCCCCCCCCCCCATGTATGTATATTATCTTTTAATGTCCAACATACACTGTAACTAAAAAATAGTAATATTACCATACATGCGAGTGTGTCTGTTTTCAGAGATCATAAACAAGATGTTTTCGGGAAATAAAAGTAATATCTAAACACAAGGCTTTACACTAACTTGTTTGGCAAATAACAAATGTTTAATAGTTCTTTAAAAGCTACTCGGAGAAGTGCCAGCCACGCTGGAAAAAACAGAGTGAATAATTCACAGGTTGCATGCTCTTATCAAACAAAACCACAGATATGGTCAAAACCCCTAATACTTCAGGAATGAGATACAATCGTAAAAAAATTACATAAACATAATTCAGATCTTTCATTTAATATAATTTTATAAAAGAAACTACAAAATAATATTGCTAAAGTCTACCAGAAGCCATAATATTAGTCTCAGTATTTGCAATGCATTCCATGTTTTTTTCAAGACTTCCCTAATCCTCTCATGATCTTCACAGTCCTCCATACAGCCTTTAAACTTAACATTGTTCAGCATTTTTCATTTAACTTTAAAAAGCAAATTTATACAAATTTTTAGGTTGGTGCAAAACTTATGGCCATGGCAGTAGTCAACTTACGAGAATTTCCAGGAAGTGCCACATTTTCTATTTCATAAATTTTAATACATTATCAAATATAAAATCTATGTTTGTGATAATAATTATATTTTATAATATAAACTACAAAAGAAGAAGGAAAAAAAAAGGTCCCATTGTTTTAACACAGTGTTTTTACCTGCTATTTTAAACTTTGGTATCTAGTGGAAGGATTAACGAAAACCAAAAACAACAAGCTACAGGAAAGGCTTGTTGATAAAATACCAAATTCTGGTTTTACAATAAATGTTCAACTTGCAGCCTGCTTCTTTTTTTTTTTTATATAATTTTGGATTGATTGTTGTTTACAACTGGTCTAAATATTTGTAATTATGTTTGACTTATCAACTGCCCCTTGATGGTCATTGACTAAATGCTAGAACCCATTGACCTTTTGCCAGCTGCTATGCTAATTTCTAAGTATAATCTGTGCAAAAATAAATTACTAATTAATTAATAAATATTAACAGAAATAAAGAAAAACATCCTTATATACATAGGTATTGCTACATTTATTTATTTCTACAGAGGCAGTTCTATCAATCAAGGCTAACGGGCAGTATCATTTCCATTACTGATTAATTCATCACGGCTCAGCAACAGACTGCTACTGAATGAAAGAATACAACAGCATAAAAATTGCAGTATTTGTAAAATCATTACATTTACCATAGGCGATAAAACAGTGTGCATCATTGTCAGAGCTGTGTTACAAATTTACGAAAGAGGATGTTCTACAAAGCTACATCTGTATTGTAGGGTTATGACAAGGGTTTCAATTTACCAACAATATCATATATATCCTAATTTTTTTAATCAGTGAATTACTTGTTGTTTGAATAAACTGTATGTTCAAATAAATGGATGGATTAAATATATAAATCTAAAGTTAGTGACAAGTAGGCATTAGTGAAGTGTAGTGGAAAAAACAACAACAACAAAAAACAGTCTATGTTCAGTTAAACTACAACCTTATTCTAACTTTATAAATATTAGTTGTTGCACACTTTATCTCCAGATCAAACAGCATACGTTAACCACTGAATTGTTTTATAGCCAACAGGTTAGCTTATTAATTGACCAATGGTGGAATCATGCTGACCACTAGTTTAGATTGACACACCTGTCTTTGGAGCATCAAAATGTCCAAGAGAAATGAAGAAATAAATACAAGTAGAAAAGAGCAAACAAGTTTTGAAATAAATAAATCTAGTGACTAAATATATACACATTTTCTTTATTTCTACCAATATTTATTCATTAATGTTTCACTTTTGCACAAAATATCGTCTTTAAATTACAAGCCCTGTAATAACAAAAAACTGTTTTAATTACCTTATTTAATACAGTGAGAAGTGAATTTATTTTGCTTTGAATACTGTTGTTGTTTTTTTTTTTTGGCGTAAAGTATGATTGCTGGAATGACAATATTTAAGTGATACTGTGAGGTTTACCTGTGACTGAAAATGGTTTGTGTAAAATAAGCACCTGAGATTGTATCTTTTTCTTCTTTGGTGTGTTAGCCAGTATGTCCTACTCTGAATAATGGATATATGCCACAAATGAGATTAATTTTACTGACCTTGAACCTGAGTGCAAAGATGAGTATGGGAACATGAAATGTTTAATTACTTGTGAAATAATAATATTCTCCTTAAAACACATCAGCCAAGTCTCAACTGCCAAGTAGTTAACATGTAATTTTTTTAGATCACTTTCACAACAATGCTAGAATATATCAGATAGTGGTCATGATTAACATAGCCTTTTTCACAGCCAAGCATGTTAAGTATATAAAATAAAAATAAAACCACGAAAAACAAAAATAAGAAACTAAGGTTTAATAACTACACAACTGGGTAAAAGAATAAAAATATTTTAACCCAGAAGTTGCTTATTTATTTCAATAAGCTTACTACTCTTCACAACAGAACATAAAATGCATTAAAAATAATATTTAAAAAAATAAACTCACCAGTAATACATGCTGTGACTAAATGTATACTAACTGGTTGCTTGTTAAATGTATCTGGAAATAAAATCAAAACTCTAAAGTTTCTCCAATGGCTTGTTTTAACTACCATTACATGCACTTTAACTCGTTTCCATAACAAAAATATATTTCAATGTAGCAAACAAACAAAAAACGAATTATTAGGAATATACACACACACACACACATTTATAATTGTCCCTTTTTCATTCACTGCTTGTCAACCATTGAGGTAGTGCTTTCATAGTATTGATAATTGCTTTTTACCTCACTAGTTTTTTAAACCAGTCAGAGATGGTTTCTAAAGCTGGTTAAATGGCAGATATGAAAGCTGATGTGGATAAAATCAATATTTTTTTTTCAGCATGTAAACAGTGGTAATCAGCTGTAGGGTCCTTGTATTTTACTGTCAAAAATGCAAGGCATGCCAAAACATAATATCATGACGTTGATCATAGCACTTTAAGATTAATGTCTAGTGTTTCAGAAAATTTAAAGGTAGACACATTTTTGTATAGAATTTCAAATGCCAAAAAGCAGGGTAAATATACTTTTGAAGTATAAAACATATTTCATAAAAAAAAAAGTTATTACTTTAATTCCTGATAAACCATACACACAGACGTATGGAAAACTATATAGATAATAATGAACTTAAAATAAGACCCAAAACTCGAGCACTTTCGAATAGATGACTATTCTTCTTCAGGAGAACAATGAAGAATAGTCAACTATTCGAAAGCGCTCGAGTTTCAGGTCTGATTTTAAGTTTATTACACTTTATATGCGATCCTTTGTGCTAACTCTTTTATCAAGATACATAATAAAGAAAATATTTATGGAAAACAAAAATGATATACGTAGTGAAGTCACAAACTATGAGTAAAAGCAATAACATGGTAAATTTAAAATTGGGCAAATTTACATGCTGAGCGAACACTTTCAGTCATGTGTATAATTAATGTGGCAGGGAGAAAGAAATACATAACATAAACTGTTTTAATACCATAACTTTACTTTGGAATGAAAAAACATGGGAAAATTGATACACGCGCTCTTTACGAACATCCTCATAGCTTGAATTAAAAACTTTACAAATTTTCTGCAACGTTAACAAGCTATGGGCAATTAATTGTAATCAATGCCTTCGTTAGTGGTAATTAGACTCATAACAAAACAATTGGTAAAGATTTTTGAAAAATTCAAGCTATGGAAGAATGTAGTATCAACAAGTGTGGTAAATTTCATGCTGACATTGGCTTTAAAGTTATCATCAAAGTCCACACAGGCAGGATCAATTTCTTTAGAAAACCCTTTGACAAGACAAATTATTCTCCTTACATCTGTTAAACAATGAAACCTACTTTAAATATTGTCTGTTATGGCTAAACTAACAACCACGCAGTCTAGCTTCACTTTCACTAACTTAATGTTTTCTGACTGAACTTTTTTTTATTAATAGATTTAGAAATTGCCCATCACAGCTAAACTGCCAATCATTCAGTCTAGATCTGTCTAATCATATCTTACTTGACTTGCTTTCTTCACTTCCTCACTGTATCTGCACATATTTATAACACGCGACAAAAAAATCAAGAAATAGCTGTCTCTCTAGTGACAACAATATTACATACAATGAGAAAAACTTACAAGCTCCAAGTAAGATTACGTCAATAATATTATGAAAGCCTAGTACAACATTTAAACTGCACACACCATGCACGACTTGTACCAAGTTACGTAACAAAATTTGTCACTGCTGTCGCTTTTAAAATAATTAACTTTTAACACTCATTATGAAAACTAAATATTCATGTATCCTCTTCAAACACCTCGTACTGAAACATGCAATCTTGCTACAATCATTTTGCATGAAGTATCTTTGCCATAACCTGATAACTCTGCTACTGCTGGGCAAAGTATGACTGCTCAGACTTTTATACTTACGTGGCACTTTCTTATGGATGGATGACAACCAATCATAAGGTAAACTATCTGAAGCAGTTCGTTTTCACATGATCAAGGGGGTGGCACTCCTTTTTTTCCTAGCTATTTCCAGAATTATTTTGAATATTGTATATGTTTAATGTGTGTTACTATTATTATCTCCATTTCAAAGATCTAAAGAGAAATGTTTGTTTCTTGACTGTGTTGGTTAGTGTGAGGTAATACTGATATTCTGACTGTTAGATAGGTATTGTACCGTGCTTTAATCATAAAATCTAAATAATGAAAAAACTTGGTTCAATTACAGCTGATAATTTGAACTCAATCAGAAAATTAATTTTTTTAAATTTGCTTCAAGCTGTTTCATTTCCATACAAGAAGGACTAAAGACTGAAATATCTTTCAAGTATAGTTTATTTTTTGCTCTAGTGCATGCTGGAACAACAGACAAATACAATAAAAGAAATGAATGTCCCACCCTAATGATTAAAATATTCTAAATACACTGAAGCAGGAATTTAGATACATTTGTTCAACTGCACAAAACATTTTGTGATTCTAATGAACACATCTTTATACGTGGTTATCCTTCAAAACTGTAAGGGTAAAAGATTGACTTACATATTAACCTGACAGCCAGATCTTCAGAATAACCTCGACTGTCAAGGAAACCACCAACAAGATGAAGTTCTAGTCTGCGGAAAACAAATACTTTATTTAGAAACAAACGGAGCAATATTTGCTAAAATGTAAAGTAGAGATAGCATGAATGCTGCTTGCTTTTTATTGTTTTATATACAGGTTTTTTTCTGCCTTTTGCTTTGATTTGAAGATGCATCAAAACTCCTACTGAAGACCTAAGACCAAGCACAGACCCTACAACACTGTTTTAAAACTATTACATTTATTAATAAAACCATGTCAAGATGATGAATATTTAACCCAGCGTGAAATTAAAAAATTTCTTTGTCATTCATGTATTTCTAAATCCTTAATAACAGAGCCAAAAATAATTAATTCCTTCCAATTTCCAAAAGACATATAATTTTCTTTATTAAATAAACCAATTAAGGTAATTTTTAAAAATAACCTTTCATTAAAAAATAGTACTAACAACGTCTAACACAATTTAACAATCCCACCAATGTTTAATGAACTGTGCTAAAAAAAGTTAAATCAATTTGAAAAAATATCTTTGATCTTATTTGATAATGATGAACCCACTTTGAAACCAATGAAGTTTAGAGATGGCTTGAATGTGTAATAAGAAAACTTTATCACGAGTTTAACACCGTAACAAACGTATAATGTTTTGGCAAGATTTTGCCATCATCATCAAGTGTAATAGTTAATCATTCAAACCATATTTAATCTTAATTTAAATTTAATCTTTATAAAATTGTATTTTTTCAAGTTTACAAATTCAGAGATATAAAGTATTTTTGTCTGAAAAATATTAAAACTTATTTAATTCATAGTTTCAATTTTTAAAATTTTAACATAAAAGGTTTACATGAAGTTAACTTTCTAACAACATGCCACAAGTTAATATAAATAACTTAAATCAGTTTTGCCATAATCCATTCAATGTTTATGCAAAATTATTTTTAGACATGCTACCATAGTAAAAATCATACTATTATGAACTATATCTTTATTCTATATGCACGTCTATACAAAAGGAAAAAAAAGAATATAAACCCCAGTTCTTTTCCCAGTAGACAAACCTGTTTATAGTACTGGTATTATGTGACCCACAAGAACCACTTAAGCCACAAAAAATGTACATGTACTACATACAGCTACATAGCTGGGTAAACTTCCCCCTGATTGTACATTTGTATTGACACCAAAGTCAACATACAACAGTTTGTACTTAGTGAAAATAGTAAAAAGTCAACAGAATCAACTCTGCCAAAAGATATAAAAGGTCTGTTTACATTCCTTGTCAATATTAGTTTAAAAGCTAATACAAATATATATATATAAATACACATACCCCAAAAAAAATACAAACTTCGAATGAGAATGGTGATTTATTGAAATTCAAACAAAGAAATACAAAGAAAAGGTTTGATCTTTTATCAGAAAGGCTAATATATTTGTATTGATTATATACATGGCTAATCTATACACTTTATTTAAGTCTTCATATGATTGAGTCCTACTAACACACACACACAACTTCTAGCTTCAAATGGTCAAAACCTTACCTGCCATCTGGTGTATTCATAGAAAACTCTTGTACTCTTCGAATCATATTGGCAACCCCTTGTTCCATCCCACAACCGTCAAAGTTACCCAGAGCCACTGCTCCAGAGCCTAATAATGTATTGAAACTAAATTAAATATTCCAGTTTTTCTCCCCTCTAAAGATGCTTCACACACAATTTTAAACAACTGCCTGAATACTTATTAAAATATGAACTAGTAACCAATGACAAGACCAGAAACATCATACTTTGGTAATTAACATAAGCTTTTCAAAGCAATCATAATGTTGAAATACACTTTATGAAAGATAACGGAGCTCATTAAAGTAAACAGTAATTTTACTTAATGTAAAGTTATTACATGTTAATCTAG